AAAAATCATGTTTCTGTTCATTGCACAAGTCAGTTAAAAATATTCATGTTTCCGGTCATTTGATGCTAGAAATATTCATGTTTCTGGTCATTGCACAAGTCAGATAAAAATATTCATGTTTCTGGTCATTTGATGCTAAAAATATTCATGTTTCTGGTCATTGCACAAGTCAGTTAAAAATATTCATGTTCTGGTAATTTGATGCTAAAAATATTCATGTTCTGGTCATTGCACAAGTCAGATAAAAATATTCATGTTTCTGGTCATTACACAAGTCATTTAAAAATATTCATGTTTCTAGTCATTGCACAAGTCAGTTGAAAATATTCATGTTCCTGGTCATTGCACGAGTAGGTTAAAAATATTCATGTTTTTGGTCATTGCACAAGTCAGGTAACAAAAAATCATGTTTCTGATCATTGCATGAGTAGGTTAAAAATATTCATGTTTCTGGTAATTGCATGAGTAAGTTAAAAATATTCATGTTTCTGGCAATTGCATGAGTAAGTTAAAAATATTCATGTTTTCGGTCATTGCATGAGTAGGTTAAAATATTCATGTTTCTGGTCATTGCACAAGTCAGTTAAAAATATTCATGTTTCTGGTCATTTGATGCTAAAAATATTCATGTTTCTGGTCATTGCACAAGTCAGATAAAAATATTCATGTTTCTGGTCATTTGATGCTAAAAATATTCATGTTTCTGGTCATTTGATGCTAAAAATATTCATGTTTCTGGTCATTGCACAAGTCAGTTAAAAATATTCATGTTCTGGTCATTTGATGCTAAAAATATTCATGTTTCTGGTCATTGCACAAGTCAGTTAAAAATATTCATGTTTCTGGTCATTGCACAAGTCAGTTAAAAATATTCATGTTTCTGGTCATTGCACAAGTCAGTTAAAAATATTCATGTTTCTGGTCATTGCACAAGTCATTTAAAAATATTCATGTTTCTGGTCATTACACAAGTCATTTAAAAATATTCATGTTTCTAGTCATTGCACAAGTCAGTTGAAAATATTCATGTTTCTGGTCATTGCACGAGTAGGTTAAAAATATTCATGTTTCCGGTCATTGCACAAATAAGTTAAAAATATTTATGTTTTTGGTCATTGCACAAGTCAGGTAACAAAAAATCATGTTTCTGGTCATTGCATGAGTAGGTTAAAAATATTCATGTTTTCGGTCATTGCATGAGTAGGTTAAAATATTCATGTTTCTGGTCATTGCACAAGTCAGTTAAAAATATTCATGTTTCTGGTCATTTGATGCTAGAAATATTCATGTTTCTGGTCATTGCACAAGTCAGATAAAAATATTCATGTTTCTGGTCATTTGATGCTAAAAATATTCATGTTTCTGGTCATTGCATAAGTCAGTTAAAAATATTCATGTTTCTGGTCATTTGATGCTAGAAATATTCATGTTTCTGGTCATTGCACAAGTCAGATAAAAATATTCATGTTTCTGGTCATTTGATGCTAGAAATATTCATGTTTCTGGTCATTGCACAAGTCAGATAAAAATATTCATGTTTCTGGTCATTTGATGCTAGAAATATTCATGTTTCTGGTCATTGCACGAGAACAGATGCATTATGATATACAAAATTAAATGACTAACATGCATATCTCATTACTCATTTAAAAATATTTTGTAAGAACGTTTACGTTATAATCCAACGGCACTAGATCAAAACAAACCAGTTTAAACATATTGAAGTACATGTAGTTGTTTTCTCAAAAAAAAATTGAAGTAGCTCACACAGCCATCTGCAGATCTGCCTAACATCAGGGTGCATGTATCTTGGCTCACTAGATATCAATACGTTTTATATAGATTAGTTATTAATATGCTTGGATGATAACTTGCAATATAAATCTTCACCACCAACACAAGTGTTGCCCTTGACTTTTGACCCCCCATTCTCAGAGTTGTAAACAAACCGTAAAACAATTGATATAATCAAAGTACACCTGTGATGTATAATCAAATATATATATATATACCGGTAGTATTCAATCAAATTTTTAAAAATTACTGTACTTTTGCACTTTGGATGATGTTTTTACTACATTTTAGTATGAAGTCTATAGTTTATATTAAAGCATTAAAATGCTTGAATGGTGTTACACAAATGTTGCCTTTGTTCTCTTAATACCAAGTGAAGTATCCTTAAACTTGAATCCAAATTGACAAAAAACAGCTGTTTGTCGGCTTTAAATAGAGAAACCCAGACGGGAAATAAACATATCAGCTTTGCTTGGTTTCAATCTTATACTTAGATATTTAACTGTAAATTCCCCGTGACCACATTGTAACTATGGTAATTACTAGACGCGTGTCATAGATACTGCTATCAGAATAAGATTGACCAGACTGTACAGCCATACCTGCGAAATAATAACCACAAAGTAATGGTTAATCATTAAACCATAGACCTTACAATAGACTCATTGTTCATCAGCTTAGAGCTAGCAATGTGCAGAAGAAGAGGAGAGACAATTAAATAAGACACCTTTGGGACACGTTACTGATTTTCAAAATCTGCCGCAGGTTGGCAATCCTGTACAGAATACAATTGTGAACATAAAAGCGTGTATATATTTACACACGTGTACAGGTCGTGAGTACGTACCTGATTAATTCTACCAGCAACATCTGAGACTTCACATTCCCACTGGCCTTGATGACCTGTCCAACCTACTATATTTGGCAGTGTAGGATTATTCAGTTCTGTACATACCTACGGAGAGTAGAAACATATCGTGAAGTTATTGTGAAATCACATTACAATGTACAACAGAAGCAGTTTTCTTACATATTTTAGAGGCGAATCGCAACAGTAAATCAGAAAAAGAAATTACTCCACTTGCGACATCTTCAATGCAATCGAGCAAAATGCAATTTACGAAATAAGATTTCTGCAATTCATCAAAAAT